TTGTGTGTATCTGTGATTACCACAAAGGCTTTATGGAATAGGCATTTTAAAACTTAATAATTTACCATCAAAATGTACTAAAAACACAAAAAGCTCGCATTATATTAGCTACCGAACACACATTTAATTATCAATTAACATTTACAAAGAAAAATTAAGATACAACTTCTTAATAATTACGTTAGAATTTGGGATCAATGGTTTGTCAGTGAAGAAAATGGCGTCGGTTTAACGCATTTTGTGTCGCCGATAGCAACGGAGTAGTATCACGTGGTATCGTGACGTAACACTGTAGTACTCTATAGTTGAAAACGATAAAATATCAAAAATCGACAATTTTGCAAACTTTGTTTGAAATTGTGCTTCTTTTCGAGATGGGCTTCTCGAGATTATAAGCTCACGTGCTCCTATTCGAGGTTTTATGGTAGATGTTCTATCAGAACAGCGCCAGGAATATGTGAATGTCCCAAACACACGTGTTTATGCACTTTTACACTGATACTTTGTGGGACCATAAAAATGTCCAAGGGGAGGGGGAGGGGGAAAGTGGGTAGGTGCCCAGTAGAAGGTTCACTGATGTTGAGATTTGTATTTACCAGTAAGATGATTTTTTTTCGTTGTGAATGAAGGTACTGGAATCAACGACATCTTAAAAAGCAAATACAAATCAGAGATTTTCACTCAGTTCGCAAATTCACGTCCCACCCACCCCCACCCCCTTTTCTTACCAGACTGGATCTTCCCCTGATGTCTTTGCACACTTGATTGATAGGAGATTGATTAACTGGTTGATTAACTGGTTGATTGACTGATTCATTTGATGGATGGATTTACTGATTTCAGTTCATTTCATTTGACAGTTAAGCCAAGTACAGTGTGAATGCAGTTTTTATCAGGGAATTGGTAATCGGTCCTACGTTTTGACAGATGAGGAATGGCTGATAGCATTTGTCCAATTATGGAGTATATTACATAGCCTATGTAAATACGAGTACGTGATTGGTCGAAATGGCATCACATGAATGTTTAGAGTAATTTTGACCTATCTTCTGCAGTATACTCATGCTCCTATTTTATTATACTTTTTTATAAGAACCAGCAAAATGTTGCCCAGGCTCAGTGATCTTAGTATTGTTTGGCCGATTTCAGGCTCAAATGTTCATATTTTGTTCTTATGTTAGGCCTACACACTTTTCCAACATAGAAAATTATTATTGTACAGTAGTATACACTGTACTGGAATGTAGGTAAAATACCCAGAAAAATGGCCCCTAAAAAAGGCCTCTGAAAAAAATGACCCTAGAAAAAGGCCCTGTTAAAAATGGCCTCAAATGACAGGTAGGTACACCTACTGTACTGTATTATAGAGGGTATTACATTACGTCACACCTAACGCACATAAGGTACAGACATACTTTTTTGGTTTTTCTAGTTTTTTAAAATAAAAATCTCATTTGACACTTTGCCTCAGCCTCAATTTGTTCTTATTTTGTTCTTAATTTTCAAGCAATTTTAGCCTCAGTGTTCTTATAAATTGTGTTCTTAAAAAAAAAACAAAGCGTACCTCTGCCAAAGGAGGTTGTATTTGCAGCTGTCTGTTTGTTGTGCTGTCTGTCAAACACTAATGAATGGATCATCATAAAATTTAGTGAAATGGTACATAATAATCGAAAAAAGACACCATTCAATTAACGGAAGAAAAGGTCAAAGGTCAAGGTCACGGAAATTCTATTTTATTTTCTTACGAGAACTGAAATCAGAGATCATTCACGTAAGGTTTTTATTTACAGTGTGACAGTTTATTGCAAATTGGAACTACTGAGTTAAGTTACCATACACATTACCAGGAGTATTGAGATAAGAACATCATTTGTAATAATGGTAATAAAATGCAACATTAGTAGGAAAATTATGTTGTTTTGTTTTCGATTTTGAAATTCGATTTTATTTTCTTACGAGAACTGAAATCAGAGATCATTCACGTAAGGTTTTTATTTACAGTGTGACAGTTTATTGCAAATTGGAACTACTGAGTTAAGTTACCATACACATTACCAGGAGTATTGAGATAAGAACATCATTTGTAATAATGGTAATAAAATGCAACATTAGTAGGAAATTTATGTTGTTTTGTTTTCGATTTTGAAATTCGATTTTTTTTTCTTACGAGAACTGAAATCAGAGATCATTCACGTAAGGTTTTTATTTACAGTGTGACAGTTTATTGCAAATTGGAACTACTGAGTTAAGTTACCATACACATTACCAGGAGTATTGAGATAAGAACATCATTTGTAATAATGGTAATAAAATGCAACATTAGTAGGAAAATTATGTTGTTTTGTTCATTCAGAATGAACTGTCTTGCTCCTTAACCATAGGTACATCTAAATCGCAATTTTATAGAATACCTGTAGGCCTATAGTAGCAATTAAATTGTTAGAAGTTTTCAGACCTGTTGAAAAATGTCACAATTAAAGGCATTAATTTGTAAAATTAGAATTATTTAAATGTCCATAGCATTTCTAGGGTGGGGGTGCACTTCACCAGGTTATGTCAAGTCACCGAATTGTTAGTTCAAGGGGTTGAAATGTCTCCACCAGAAAAATCTCACTATCATAATATAACATACTGTATAGTGACAACAAGTACCAAATAATACAAAAATTCGTCCCACTTTGGCTACGTAAAGTAATAGTAAAACTTTAGTGTCAAACCAGTATTTCATCCTACACGTTGCAGTTGAGAAATATGGGCCATTTTCAAGACACTCGGCTATAACTGTACTTAACCAAAAAGAATGACTGTAGCGTTTCAAATTCAGAAATTCAGGGTGGATGGATGTGCTCTTTACATTCACTGCAGTGGGTGGCAATCCGTGACCATGACGTCATGTAAAAGATGAATCATGTGAAGACTTAGCTGCAAGTACCATGAATATTGAATCTACTAGAACCATTTTAATTTCATCGGCTGATGATTTATCACCAACTTCCCCAATCATTCTGAAGAAGAACAGTGTAGTGAATTTTGTTTAAAAAACAGACAGAAATAAATGAAAAGCATAATGGTACTCTGGTTTTGTTATTGCCAAAACGATTAAATTACTGAATAATTCAATTATAACTTACTTTGCTTTAAGTTCCACTAGTGGGTCGGATTTACCTTCAGTCACCTTCATTAACTTCTGGTAATGAGACCAAGATGTCAGCATATGTAAAAACCAGGATAAATTTACTTCTCGCTTTCTAGATAACGAATCATCTCTTTAAAGCAAAAATAAGAAAAACACAATTTCACTCAAATTCATTAAAGCTGGCTCCTAAATTGATGTATGTTCTATTTATTATAAAACTGTTGGTAAATATCTGAAATGCATCATGTCCACCAGAGTAATAGGAGGGGAAAAAAAAAAGAATTCTAGACCTCCCTTTTCAGGACCCGTGAGCTGATTTTTCATTTTTTTTTTTTTTTTTTTTTTTTTTTGTTGCTATTAGAAAATTAGAATTTTGAAGAACATAAAATTCATTAAAACACACTTCAAATGTCGGGAAAGCTCAATTTCCGCCATCTAGGAATCAAACTTTACACCGGTGGAGAACCCCCGGTCCCCCCTTTCTTTTTGGGATTTATCGATTCATGGAAAAAAGGATACGCATGCAACTCATTTGTTTATGTATGTATACACACATAAAATAAAAAATGAGAAAATTTTACCTGACCTTTTTTAAGAGGGGAAAACCTTGAATTTTGAAGAACTTTAAAAGTCATTAAAAAGACATTTCAGAAGTCAGGTAAGCTCATCTCCCGCCATCTAGAAATCGAAATTTTTCCGGGGGAACCCGGACCCCTTTTATCTTTGGAGTTCATTGATTAATTGAATCATTTGATTTGAATCATCATTCAATTTTGAAGAATTTAAAAGTCATTAAAAGACACAACAGAAGTCAGGAAAGCTCATTTCCCGCCACCTAGGAATCAACATTTTCCGTGGAAGAACAACGGGACCTCCCCCCCCCCCACTTTCTTTTTGGGATTTAACTACGTATGCAACTTACTCAATGTTTTTTTTTATGTTATGTATACACACATAAGGCCTATTTACTGTAATAACAATGGGAAAAATTATCTGACAGTTTCAAGAGTGGAAAACCTTGAATTTTGAAGAACTTAATTACTTTTAAGTTCTTCAAAATTCAAGGTGTTCCCCTCTTGAAAATTATTATAATGAATCAATGACCCCAGAGAAAGGGAGGTTCGAGTTCTTCCCGGGAAAATGTTGATTTCTAAATGGTGGACAATGAGATTTCCCCGACTTCTGAAGTATTTAGAGATTAGAGAGAGCAGCTTAGCTCAGTCGGCTAATCTGTGGTAGCCACTGTGTGTGCACTGAACCGTGGAGATCTCTAGGTCCCCGGTTCAATTCCCATCACTGCATCTCCTCGAAGGACTGGGCTATCCTTGGTGTTTACACCGAATAAATCCAATCCAATCGAATGGTAAACCTCCTAGGTCAAATGTGAGCCAGTGAACTGATCAATGAGGGCTCTCAATTGCTCTTTTCTAACGCCCTTCTAACGTATTTTAAGAATGAATCATCAGTATGATTATATACGGTATATATAACGTAATTTTACAAGCAGCCTCTCTATTGATAGGCTATTGAAACAATAAAAAGTATAATTGCAGAGATATAGTTTCAAAAATTTAGAATACCAGGGAGCATCATATATTTTCATTTGTTTATCTATTAATTTAAGAGAGCCTTGTATATCAGCTGGCAGTCTGAAAGTGTAATCATCTATAAATATGTTGTTTTTTTTTAAATTATTTTTATTTATTTATTTATTTTATTTTATTATTTATTAAAGCCACTCTCTTTATCAGTCTTAGTGAGTGGATCTCATCAAATAAAAAAAATCCTACAGTGACAGGGTTTGAATCAGGGGCTTAGCCAGAAAAATGAAATAGGCCGTCTGATGAGCGGGCCACGCCCCCTCCCAAACATAAGACAAAATAGAAAATTATGATCTTTAGAGGGCATTTAAAGGTGTTTAAATGTTGGAATTTTGTCTTTTTTACCGATAGTGTTGAATTAGCTATCACAAATATATTTCAGGTATATACGTAGATTGCGCACGGCTATGGTATTTCAATGCAGATATTGCTTCTTCATCTCTCGCCTTAGTCTAGTGTAAATTCTACTCTAGGTCCTCCGAATCGAGAGATAGGCCTAGACCTTTTTCGACTAATAAAATTTAACTTGTGAGGTTAACAACCAACCTTCTTGAAGGTATTTCAGGAATTATTGTAATTATAACCAGAGAGTTACAAACACCAACATATGTCGGGGAACCGAATCTCAAGTATTGTATTTGCAGAGCTACATTCATACATTGTGGACAACTCAAAACCGTCCATTTTCCAGTGGGGTATAAATGTTTTTAACACAAAGCGTGTTTTAAGTGAACAGGCCTTTTTCACGAATCGGTTGACATCTTGAAGTAATGACAAGCATTGCGAATCAGCGGTGTGTAACCAACAGAAATAAGATAAGCTTTTGGCCTGATTTTCTGACATCATGTTATTTAAAATATCATAACTCCATAACGTGGCATCGTATCCAAAAAACATTTCCAGCAAAATGTTCTTAAAAGACTAGTCTACACAACTGTATGATTAAAAAAAATTGAAAAATGTTTTTGACCTCTGAAATCAAGATGGAAAAAGAAAAGCCTATCTAAGTAGTGTATTAAAATAGGTCTAAACATTACAGTGCAGTAGTACTAGTAATACTCAGGATTAGCATTGTTTTAGTTACCATATGAGAGTTTCCTGTGTTAAAAACATGATTTACTATACTGTACTTCTTTATAAAATATAACTTGTACTTTATAATAAGAGAAATTATCAGTAACTGGAACAGTAACAACACGAAAGTACTATGCTACTGCACTGTAATGCACAGGCCTATTTGAATACACTACTTAGATAGGCTTTTCTTTTTCCATTTTTATTTCAGAGGTCAAAAACATTTTTCAATTTTTTTTCAATCATATAGTGGTGTAGACTAGTCTTTTAAGAACATTTTGCTGGAAAAATGTTTCGGACACGACGCCCCGTTATGGAGTTATGATTTTTTAAATAACATGATGTCAGAAAATCAGCCCAAAAGGTTATCTTATTTCTGTTGGTCACGCACCGCTAATTCGCAATGTTTGTCATCATTTCAAGATGTCTACCGATTCGTCAAAAAGGCCTAATATATCTGTTCAGAGGTGCAACACTGGAATCACAGTAAAGAAGTGTTCAGAATCTTACATTTTCAACAGGCAAAACTTTACCTTTCATTTATAGCGTATGGAAATTTCAAGTCACGATATTTATTATAATGCACCTCAAGCTCTTTGGGGATGTATGGTTTAAGGAAATTAATGTACTGCAAAAAAAAAAGAAAACAAAAAGTAAACACAGGAAAATGAAAGATAAAAATGTCAACCACTAGCCTAATTTCTGATAAATAATTCTTGACTATCATTGGTATTATTGTCTAAATTAAGATTAGAGTTTCTTTTGATATGACCTATTATTATCATTTCATTATTCACTTATTAAAATAATTAAAGAAAATTTCATGATCTGATGATGACATGATTACTGCCTTAAATACACTGGCCTACACTTTTTGAAATTAATAATATATAAATTATAGCAATAAGCAAACACATTCAATCCCAATGTCTGTTAATACAATGTTCTGCAAACTTCATTCACAGCCTACCTGAGATTGCAGGAACCAATCCTCGACCGAGCCGTGCCAGAAACTAAAATGCCAAAACCGGGTAAAATGTTCTGATCATGAAAATTACCTCCATGTTCTTGTGCTATACAATAATTTGTTATAATTATTTGTTCTATTCCATTAGTGAGAACATTTTGAAACATCCAGGACCTTAAAAAAATAGTTTGCAGACCGTCATATTAATACATGTGGAAAAGTATATCTTAAAATAAATGTCAAAGGCATTCTACCTCATTGAAAAGTCGGTTCAGTCCCTGATGTGGTTTTCCTTGGTAAATTATAGTTGGGTTTGTATAGCCTATGAGAGCTACGCATCCACTGGGTTTCAAAATCCTGTCAACTTCGCCGCAAAACTTGCTGAAGTTAAACCAATGAACAGCTTGAGCACACGTCACTAGATCCACGGATGAAGACTCCACGGGAATGCTGTCTTCACTTCCAACCCTGTAGGCACAGATGGAAAATATGGACTTTTGAGTACTTACAGACCAAGCCAGGAACATAATCACCACCCTCATTATCTTCGAAAGTCACAAGTGTTTATGGAAACATTTTTCATATAGGCACAATTATGTCTTGTTTTTGCTCCCGAATTTGTTAAATTTATTTATATAAAATGAGGCATGTCGTGGCAAAAACCGCAAAGGCCAGTATTGAGTAAATGAGCTACAAAATCTGGAGCTCAAAAAATTAATTAAAATTCCAAAATTGTTTTTTATTATATTATCAACAGTTTAATGTCTTATTAATCATTTCCCAAAGTATTATTTCTGGAAGTGGTCAACAAATTGTTTATTTAACGTTATTTTGAAAGTGAATTCTATTATTAAAAGTATGCACAAATAACTTTGGAAAGCAATTACTAAAAATCATGTTTATCTTGAGTGTTGCACTTACACTTTCCTATAACTTAGGCCTGAAATGTCTAATTTCAATGAATAAAATCTCATTTTAAAGATTACATACTCAAGTATCTGAAAACACCAATAACTTGAATTTCAATTTTTGCTACAACTTAGCCATTTTGCCACAACTTGCCTCGCATTCACTTAAATAATTATAATGATTCTGAAGTTCTTTGATGATTTATGAAGCCCTGTACAGATTATCAAGTTTTATTTGACAAACACATGTGACCTGCATAAATATGGTCATGATCAACCCTACAATATATACTGTACTGCAAAGTAGGCACATTATGACTACTGTATATATTCTAACAAAATAAAAAGTTTTTATTTCCTTGTCACGCTGCCAGACTGTGGAATAATCTCCCAACTAAGCTTTGGGGACATTTCTGATCCCAATATTTTCAAACGTGCGCACAAGACTCGCTCGATTGCATAGCACATCCAATTACTGTTTTCTGATTGTTCTGTCTGTAGCATGTGTTGTGTTTTGCTTTGTTGATTGTTTCGAAAACTGCATTACATGCTGCTTTGAGTTTTTGCCTGAACTATGAGATTTGGCGTGCACTTTATAACCACAAAAGGCGCAATAGAGATGTTCATACCAGTACCTGTATATATGGGCATACAACCATTTTTTTTTTGTCAAATAAAATGCTATAGTCTGGACTGGGCTTTAGTTCAATTCTGGCAGCAAATTTGGGAACAAAATAGTGAGAGAAAAATATGCCAAACCCATCAGAGATATTGACTGGGTTGATCAGGCATGCAAGATGCATTACTGATGTCTGATATCTCATACATTTCTAAATACATTTTCTATGCATTTGAGAGCAGCATACAGTATAGCTCAGTTGGCTAAAGTGGTGGTAGCCACTATGTGTGAGCTAAACAGTAGAGATCCCTTGATCCCCGGTTCAATTCCCATCACTGCCCCCCTTCAGGGGTGGCGCTAGCGGGGTTCAGTGGGCAAAGGACCCCCATTGGAGACTTCTGGACCCCGCGCTTGGACCCCCCTGTTGGAGAATTTCAGCAAGGTCATCAGGGAAACTCAAATCCAAGCGCCGATAGTAAAATTCAAGCATGTCTTACTAAGCTGTCAATATTTTAGGGATTAAAAACTGTTTAGTGCGAACAGTGGTACCGTATGTGCGAGGTGTATACTACACATATTGCGATCGTATGGGTTGCAATGGTGCGCCAGCTCTTCCCAGACAGGGGCCTGGTACCTCCAACAGGGGGCTAGTACCACTGAGAGGCTTCCCCGACGGGGAGGAGGATGTGGACCCCATTTGTCGGGGAGCTTGGACCCCTCATCGGTGAATTCCTGGTGCCACCCCTGCTCTCCTTGTGTTTCAGTTGGAGGGCTGAAATGCAAGTTACGATAGTGCACCGTCTTTCGTTTTAAGCCATTAATCCTGTGCACATTATGGCCCATAAGCATGTTAAAAAACACAGTACACTCTTCAAATAAGAGGAGGGGATTGTCTCCTGGTGTACTGCCCAATCACCACCAGAAGTACCCCACTGGAAATAAGTCTTCTTCAGACTTTTGTGGGAATTATCCTTGGTGCTTACAATGAATATACCCATCCATTCCAATAGGCCTACTTACCTGTATTCTACTTTTGTATTTGTTTTCAAATTTCGTGCAAACTTTAGTTGAGCTTCACTGACATCTACACCAATAGTTTGCTTGAAATATGGAGCCAGGTCTCGAGTTAACTGGCCGGACCCACAGCCGACATCCACTGCTTTTACATAGTCGTCATTTCGATTGGCTTTAACCTGAAAATCATACAGTACTGTACATTAAAAATGCTTGGCATTGACCCCTTGCAAGTTCAACTGATTTTAGCATGGTTATGCTAATTTTGCAACCTACTGTAACCTCAAGATGATGATGGTAGGACTACCGATATGTAGTATAAGTACGCTAATTTTATGATATCGATGCAGAGCTATTGTCTTTATGTTTGATTCATGTTTTTTAAGTGTGTTATATCCTACTGTTATTGGGCATACAATGCATACACAACAAGTCCCACAAATTTGGGCTGAGACTAACAATTGGGGTCTGTCTCACACTCTCACGCTTAAGGACCAAAATGTCCTTTTCTTACTAAAAATTTTCCATCTACAGTGCTTAAAATATATCCTCGTAATATCATGTAATCCATCTACTGTAGCTGCATTAACACTGTAGATATGTCGATTTATTAAGTGCTGTCTGTTAAGATCAAAGGACATAGGCCTACAGTACGCATAGGTACACACTGCCAGCTCATGTCAGGGTGAAAAAAAAAATTGTGTGGACATAGGCATATTCATAATAAAAAAAATACTGGATAAAAAAAGAAAACTGTATTCAAATTGATGGACTATTTCCATCCATATAGAGGTTCCATAACCCTGTCTCTTATACACATCTAGATGTGTATAAGAGACAGGGCCAGTATTGAGTAAATGAGCTATAA